TGATTAACCAGGCTTCAAAGCATATCAAAAATTAACGAAAAAGATTGAGCCAAATATACAAAACTTACAAAGAAACCAGTGGAGTCGACGAAGAGCAGCGCGAAAGTTCAGCAGGCGAATACGCAGGCTCTAAAAATGACTGTTTATAACAAAACTGAATGGCTGATTTATTGGAAAACTAAAAAACACTAAATAAACTGAACTCAGAGCAGAGCATTGGTATAAACTATATGCCTGCCTTTCCGCTCCAGACAACTACTCTGTGATAAGGTACGTGAGATTTGGACCGAAACGTCGGTACCGAAACAATGTATAGCGTCGTGTATAAATAAATCGCTTTGTGCTGCTTCTTCTGCAAAGTATATCGAGCATCCACTAGGGTTCCAAACGCTTTCTTCCTAGTTCGTATGAACTTGAAGTGATACTGCAATCGTCGCTGAGGTATGCAATGAGGAATGGAATGCCGAATGACAATCGGCAATGACAGCCAGGGCGGTGTTCGATAAGGTCATCTAACTCAGATAACAATGTGGAATGACCTGAGCAATATTTAATAACAAAGTGCTAAGAGCAATAATACAATGACGAAAAATCAACAGCGACGACGCAACTACGATTGACTTGCTGACAGTGCAAATTCTGTCAGACTAATTTCAATGAAAGAGTGTATTGCATCATCATGAATGATAGAAGGATGCTTGTTGTATCTGAAAGCTAGACATCTGTCGTGCCTGTTAAGCAAATATGCTGGAACCAGAAATGACAACTTTAAATTAACTAAAGAAACGAATCAGAGCTTCGGTTTCCAACGGGAACTTTATCAAAATTCGTCACCACTTCATACCTACCTGTACAAAGACGGTCAGAGGAAGCTGGACTGTGATTGACGTTTACAAATGGCCCTGAACACAACGACTCCAAACTCTGCGAGTCCAGATTACTGTTGTCGAACACAATATGCTTTCGAGCCATATTTAAATCATTCAACAGGCTGCATGGTTCAGTACAGCCAGTCGTGGAAGACAATCGGGACACGTCATTAACGTTTTCTTGCTCCGTGTGAAGCGCTGGAGTAGTCATAGGAGATAAATGAAACGTAGGCTTAATGGCCGGACTTCGATCACCATCGTTCGACAAAAAAGAATCTGAAAACAGATCTTGACTGTTGTCACGCGTTCCATAACTGACCTAGTAAAGACTGTCAGTTAGATCACAATTCGCATGAAAGAAGAAGCAGAAATGTTACTTTTGAATCCCTTGTTAAGCCGTCATTTTTAATGTCTTCCCTAAGCTGATTCGGAGGAAGTATGAAACTTGTAGTATTTGAGTCATGATTCGAATCGGTAATCACTTCTAAACATAGAGACCTTTAGCAAAATATGTCAAATTGGTCCCAAAATCAATTTCCCTTCGCAGTGCACAGTCTACTTACCAGTTTCAGACTGCCTGCTTGATACATCGCCACCGCATGATTCTCTATGTGCAGGAGCATCTAAAAAGCTAGCTATATACAAATTTCTGAAACGCAATTAAACCATACCGTCTCCCAGACCAGATCGTGTTTCTTCATCGACAAAAGGATCAAACTTCAAAATGTCCTTTTTGATGATCGTGTGTTTGCTTGGCTGTTGGACAGTTGACTCTTTAACAACATAATCTCTAACAGGCAATGCACTTGCCAGGTTCTGTGAAAGAAAACGATCCATTTTAATAAATGAACAGTAAAAAGCGTGATAACGAAATTACATACAGTAAAATCGGATTAACTCGAAATGTAGAAGATAAGTCAAAATAGCTGTTAAGCAAATAAATTTAAATATCAAATACAAAAAGCAGATACGTATCACTTTACAATGTGATATTCGACTTAATTCCAGACGATTTATTTTCAGTCTAACACCACAAATTTTTTATTTCTTTAATAAAGTAAGCAACGAAAATGATAACGTTATCACTTATATTAGTTACGTAATAAAGTCATAATAGAAAGTAATCAAAGTCACCAGGGGTCATTCCAAACCTTGTTGCATACAGTTACTAGTTTACGTTTATTAACGTGATGTAAGTTTGTAGCTCTTTGGAAATGTCCGGATAACGAAAATTTGGTCAGTAGCACAAGGTCTTCCTCTGGAGCTTCCGTTAATGGGGTCCTTTCGTAGCGTCGCCATCTGACTTCAGTACGAACCAAAAAAACAGCAATACCGACATCACAAGAAAAATTCTCTTAACCAATACCAACATTTTAAACAACGTCTGTACGCGGCTTTCCTACTGCGGCTGTTTAGTTACATTATGTTATATAATGGATTTTAAAAGCAATTAGTCCATTTTTCGAAGTAGATTAAAGAAAATCAGCTAAAACCTGAAGAAACATTTGTCATTAACTCAAGAAAACTTGATTAATCATACTTCGTCAGAGTTCGATGATTCCGCTTCGCTGCCAAGCACACCACTGCCATCAACCAGCTTAAACGTTATTTCTCTGGACAAATCCGCCAAACTCTGTTCACTGTGTATTAGTCCCAAACTTATCTCTTCAGACCCTGCCTGCGGAAGCGGATTTGACGTATGGTCCTCGTTCTCGATGGAAACCTCAACTTTTTCGCCAGTTATCTGTGCTTCAGAAGCAGACTCAGTTTCTCTTGAAATCTGTTCTTCAACGGCACTAGTTTTTCTTGCGCCAGCATCCTCGTCATCTTCACTTTCCGTGTCACTACCATCTTCTGACTCCTCCACATTTTCGTCCTTGTGCTCGTCGTCGAAATTCTCCTGTTCCATTTTCCACAATTCATATCTTTTCTTAAGACCTTCGAGTCTTTTAGCGCGCAGTCCCTTCTCTAGCGTTGATTTCAAAAGGCGAAGTTTTTTTCCTAGCATGTATAATTAACAACAGCAGCCAGTCAAGGTAAGATAAAATAAGTTACCTGTTCTACTGATGTTCTGTGATCCACTGATAGTTGCAGTAGTAGGGGAATCTGGCCTAAAAACATACATATATATTCAAAAATACGTTGTAAAGTCAACAATTACTTTATTACTGAAGTATGTCGTTATTTCCTACATTAATATTCAGTTGCGAAATTTGCCTCGCTTGTTAAGCTTGGACTAATAACCCGCCGCTTTGTTATTCATAGTTATGAGCCCTCCATAAAAATATAGAGTCAAAAAGTACCATTAAACTCATGCCTTACCGCAAATACTTTCAAGCTCTGGCTAAGAAAGGATGGAGTGAAGATGCGGAATGAAAACTACAGCGGCATACTCATGTTCATTTTGTTGTGCGATAAATAAATTATGATGTGTAACCTATTCCTTCTTTCCGGGAGATCAAACGACTCTGGACCATTGACAGACTTTGATGTTCATTCGTCACTAAGCAAGGACGGTTCTGCTTCAATGCCATATGTCAAAGGAGCATCAACCGAATATTCAGACATCATATCTTTTCTCACAAGTAAAAATTAATGTGAATGATCATTCTACGTCACAAAATAATGACTAGGAAATGTCAAAATTATATTATACTGTTGTTTTTTGTTTCTGAAGTATGTTCGACACAAATTAGCCAAGTGAAATAGAAAATGGAGAAAACCTGAACATGGTAACAGTTGAACACGAAAAAGTAGGCTACCCTAGGATCTTCATGATGTATGTAGTTCCAGACTACAAGTAATAGGGCAAAGATTTGTTGCATGTGATCGTTGCTACCTTCACTTGGCAGCAGGTAACGGGCAATGAAGTAAATCAGTGTGAAGCGTGGAAGTTTGCCAAGCAAATCGAAGTGAGGTATACGTTCGAGATCGATTGAGCAATCAGAGTGTCAATGCATGTGAGTGCTCCTGCGGTTTCGACGGCTCCAAATAAACATCTGGCATCTTTTGATTCACATTACGTGTCTCGTTGATGAAAACTACTTCTTGGCAGTACAAAAGAAATGAAAAAATGAACGAACTGAAGGCGTGAGTAAAGTGATGAATTAAAGAATAAATGAGCAAGTAAACGAATGCATGAGTGAGTGAAGGAACGACTTAATAACTAAGTGAATGAGTGAATATACAAATGAACGGGTGAATGAATGAGAAAGAAGCAATGACTGAATGCCATACGAATTCTGTAGCCGAAAGGAGGGACAATGGATCTGCTAAATCTCAGCAGTCCGCATGTTTGTTTCTTGTATCACTTTTAAAATAAAACGTCAGGGTCTTAACCTTCGACAAGAAGCAAACGTCAATCTGGCAGAATTATTTCGACTGAAACTTATGTTCGATTTTGGACACCCCTCCAGTTCATCAGAACTCGCGCCCCTAACTGAAATTCAGGCGAATGACTGATTTGCTTTCACGTAACAGTTCAATAAATCTTAGACGGTTTTTGTTATTTTATTACTCTACTCATCTGTCAAAACACTAAAACCAACGACGATTGTCACACCAGTGGCCACATTAGAAAGTACCGTCATTGTTTTATTTGCCTTCTTCCTTCATACTCGTAAGACTTATTTACATTGTTCAGAAGATTTGTTCATTTTGCGACCAACTACACAACGAATCTTTGTGCCTCTGCGACTTTTATACTTTTATAGACCCATCCCATCACAAGCATGAGACAATGTCCTCAGAACATATGTGCATATACTCTAAGCGTACTATAAGAGAGTTACATTAAGGGAAGATATGAAGAAAGAGAAAAAGTTAGATCATAACCAACTCAAATAAAGCATGAGTGGAGGAGAAGTGGGCAAATGACACAATGGGTAAGCAGTTTCCCTTGTACTTTACAGGTAATGGGTTCCAAACCACAAGCGCAGTGTAAAACACTTTTTCGTACTAACTGCTAATTCCAATGAGGTGAGAAATTCAACCCACTGTGTTTCACATGCACTCCACTGTGCAATCAGCTGAGAAAAATGAAAGTTTGTAACCGTTGGAATTTTGGTCATGATTGGGCTAATTTTAACAACCTTGTTTTCATGAAGCTAATATTGGGGAAGTTGGTTTCCATTTCCAAGTCATCAGCTAGGACTGTCTCATTTTTAAAGGCGGAATTGACAGCAACTGTGTGACAAGCATATTCTCTATTCTCCTGTTTCCTTTCTATTCATTAATCAGACTGACCCTGACCGGGACTCTAACCTAAGACCATTCGGTCGGTTCTGCGTCCGACGCTTTACCGACCTAGTAACCCTGGTATGAAGCAACTGTGGCAAATTCCTTGCTCAATGATGTTCAAGGTAAAGATAAAGATTGCCAGCTGTGGGAATAGAACTCGGCACCTCTTGAGTGCGAGTTCGAAATTGACTTCTGACTTATTGTGCCACTGCGCTACGCTCTCGAGAAACCCGTAGCGGTTGACCAGGACCAATCGGGAAAGCAAGATGTTCTAACATGGTCATTTCGAAATATCCGAGAAATATACAGCAAATGGTGTCTGATGCCGACGCTTTACGTTAGCGACAATAGTTCGCTTTATACCACCTTACAGCTGACTGAAATCAGCACAGGGTCTAAACAATAATGCTCTTTATAAATTAGTGACTATTTTTATCCATGATATGTTGTGAACTCGAAAAAAAGTCAGCAGCAAAGTGGAGAACACTCACTGTGCTTGATCGCGCTTTTTTGAAAGCCACAGAAATGCTTGCTGGCTGCCAGGCAGTGCTGGGGAGGCGTTACTCGGTTTCGAGTCATCGTCGCTGTCGTCCAAGTCAATGAATTCACCAGGGGTACCACTAATCTTTGGTTTATTCTGCGTAGCCACGTTGTCACCGCTGTACGGGAACTTCTTTTTTGATCGCAGAATGGGGCTCAACAGGCGAAGACCAGCTTTGTCGTCGTCTGGGTGCAAGCGTTTCAAATTTGCCACCGCAATGGACATCAGTACTTAAAATATCACTTTTAAACATGCATTTAAACTTGCCAAAAAATCGTTTCTGAACAGATATCAACCTGCTCCAGATATTCCAGCAAAGTAGGTTTTCACGAACAACAATTAACAATAAATTATACGTCTCACTTTTCGGGATTTACACAGTATAACTATTGCTGATAAGGTTCGTACAACATAAACGATAAACGCAGATACACCTGATAAATAACTAAAATTCATCTCCCGGTACGACTCGTAAAAAAGTTTTTAAAACATCGATGTCTCGCCTCAAACAATGGACATTCAAAATCAATACTACAGAAACATTTGCATAAACGCTTAAACATTCAGTTTATATTCCATATTTACCTATATACAACAGACAAACTGTAAACCTGCGGTGCTTCTGCTATCTTATGCGTTAATGTACTGTGACGCCAAATAAAAAATATCGAAGGAATATATGTAGGTGGGTTTGAATAAGGCGCAGTAGCATACTGGGGTAATTGAGGATAGTCAAGTACAATCTAATTCGGCGAGCTTATTTTTCAAGTGCATTAAAATCCAGCAAAAATTTACGTTAACACCTTCCGTTGATTTTTAGTCAGCTATCAATCAAAGCAAATTGTACCTATAATTCTCACGCATCAGACAGCATAGCCGTATGTTCCCCACATTTTGGCTTGACCATACCAAAGTATCGTAAAATCCATTCGCAGGTCAGCGACGCGACGTGTCACCCATTTTTCACTAGTTTCGCTGTAACAGGATGGAGTGAATTCGTTGCTGAAGGAAATTTTCGGTTAATAAAAAAGATTTTACGCTGCGCGAGTTGTTTAAATTCAAAGCTCTAATGTGCAATACGATTTACTAAGCCGCTGCCTTCTTCTACTCGTGTCCTTTGACTTTTTCTTTATAAACAGGATCGCTGAAGAATATTGCTTGTCAGTATGAATGAGAAATATTTGTAACGTTAATTAGAACAATAATAGTAAACTTGCAGCAAAATGAATGCATGACATTATGAATGAAACTGACCATGTAGGCCTGTCGAACGGTTGTCATATAGTCAAGAAAATATCCCGCTAATGTTCAAAGATAAAATTTTTGTGATCATTTTGGAATTGTATTGCGAAACCAAAACCTAGCCTTCTTTGTAAAACGTTCAAAACTTTGCGGTTTGACAAACTACTCTGAGCCGAAGCATTGCAGTAACAACCTGACATGCTGAAAACTAGTAGTTCTACCAGACTTTAGACTATTTATGGCTTCGTGCAATTCAGACTTAACTTATCCACAAAATCACGATCAGCTAAATTTATAAATCAGGTAAAAAAGGTAGACGTGCTTATATACAATAGAAATTTTAAATGTTAATAGAACTACTGAATGCACAGTTTAATGAAAGCAAAAGTACTTCTAAACAGAAAAATTAGCTCGATCTTATGGGTTTATTAACATACTGCTAGTTTTTGATACCTTCGGTAAGATATATAATCCTTTCTAGTTTTAGACAACGGATCGTGGCATATTTCAAGATCTCTGAACAGACCTTTGTTCTTCCTCCCTAGTAATGCGGGTTTGCATTCAGGCACATCAGGTGCTCAAATACCATGGCGCCTGCTTGAATGAGCCCCTAAGCCGCTAGAAGCAAGAAGCCGTAGCTTTCGCCGCTTCAGTTCGGTATCAAAAATTAAACGGAAAGTACTTCTAAACTGTTCGAAATATTTGCTACACAGACTTCGCTGACATCTTTCGAAGGAAGTGGTTCAATTTTTGCCACGTATTGCTTAAGTTATTAGTTTTTATCTCCATGTTTGTGAAACTCCTCATTCAGCTAGAATTAGGAACAGACCCAACAATCTTTTTTATGCAAATTTTCTTTAACGATATAAGATTTTATCTAAACCAGGGTAGGAAAGCACTCAAGGAAACGACGCCGGTACGTTTTATATAAGGTGAAGTCAAATACAAGTGGTGCATATATGCTGATTGCATCATTTTACATCGTGATTATTTCACTGCTTATCCTAATTTCACTTTACAACATTTTTCCATAAATTTAGGCTTTGTCGTACATAAAATTGCCCACCAATCAACGACCAGTTATACACTTTCTCATGTTTGTACCAATGTACACAATCAGCATCATTTTCCTGTTCGATAGGCTTCGCAACCGTACGAATCCGCTGCGATACGACATCAAACAACCTCTTTCATAGTTTTATGAACAATGTGTATGTAACCATCAAATGCTTTGTAAGTTCTTTTCTATAACAACGAGTGGTTTGTGATAAATTTGATGGAATGTAGTGCTAAATTACCTGATAATCATTTTTCAGATATCACTGCCGCTTGATAATAATCGCTAGTGATGCGGAAACTTTCCTACGGATGAACTTTTAAGACTGATTGCGATTCATTGTCTTCTTCTGCAGTGAAAACAATATCGATTCGTTGCTTAGAAACTAAGATAAAGTTATTGATATGATCATCACATTGAGTCTTTTCGCATAAGGAAGACGTCTTTGGTTTGTGATGTCCGCTATATTCGCAGCTTTCTAACACTGCTCAAATGTACTGATTATCGCATCACACAAGGAAATACTCTATGCTTTTCTTCACTACAACCATATAATGATCGTACCCAAAACAGGCGGCACGTCTGATTCAAGTGTCGATAAACGAGCTGCGTCATTTGCAGTGGGTGACGAAGTGTTTCGGCTGGGCGTTCAGGCGGTTTAACGCATACGCGTGTGAAGTGAAAGGGTTCTGCCCACGATTAAGTTGTTTGTGGCGTAAAAGCTTAACAGCCGACTGAAAGCAGTCATAGAAAGCGTCTTTGACGTTGTAACTCAACATGTTTATTGCGGCATTGACGACAGTGATATTGAGCGTCGCCTGTTACACGTTAACGTGACAGATCTAAGTTTTTTTGACATCTGTTCTCCCAAATGTCTGCTCGGCTTATCATAGGAGACAAGGATGCCCGCGGGTAAAGGCGTAATCGACGGTGGCTTGAACGCCAAAATGATCAACTTTCCTGTAGATGAAGTATTTTCTTCCACTGGAAGGGGGGGGGGGCTTGCGTAACCTCCAGCACATCGTATTTGTACCAATGGGCAGTATGGCGGATATCATCTAACACTTGGGCCAGACAAGGAACAAACGTTCCACTTCCACCTTGCAACACGTAACCTATCTCTTAGAGGGCTGACTACTGGAATCATGGATTTCATGGTTTCTAGTTGTATTCGAGGTTGTGTGAAACAACCGCTTGCTGTGCAAAAGTAAAGAGTAACGCTGACGTCAAGGTGTTTGTCTGTAGTGCCAACGCTGGTTAACATAAACAAGAATGACCATCAGAAATTGCGAATCCTTAAGGCTGTTCATAAAGCCAACTTTTATTGTAACCAAACAACAGTATTTCGGTAGAACGGATTTTAGTTTTTAGAAGACTAAACCTGCTGCGTGGCAAAAAAACTAATCTAAATTCTATATCAAAAAACTATAAACGCTTAAAACTATCCCTTATCATGCATACAAATTCTATAACTACAAAACATCATCATCAACGAGTTGTGCAGAATTATGCTTTAACACCTCAACTTAATTTCGCCGTGCCCGTCCTATGCATAGATGAGAGAGGAGGAGGGTTTGAGACCGTGGAGCGAAGTCTCGTAAAACGAAAACTTAATTACCTGCCCTTCACGTAATGACGTCATCGAAAATTATACCGGCTCGGTCGTCGCTCGGGTTAGCAAGGACCGCAACAGCTCTTCAGAGACTGAGACCGGCGGCGAATAGTCTGCGATCAGATCGTGCTCATTGCATTCTGGCAGTCGGGGCCGTAGCAACAAAACAACGACTGAGGTAGATCGAGAAACGACGACGAAGGTACCAGTCAGCAACGGAGTCGCTACCCGCTTTGAACGGAGGAGCCAGACAGCGCGATGCCATTATAGCACATCAGGAAAAGCTCCAAGAGAACGACACCCCCAGTGGGAGCTTATCTTCAGATATTGGAACATATCCTCACTCAGAGGGAAAGAGCAAAGTTAGTTGACGACACCATAAAGTACCAACTCGGCATTGTTGGACTCTCGTCAACGAAGCGTCAAGGTTTTAAAATTCTGAACCTTGGCGGGTGGAAGCCATTCTACTCAGGTATCGATATCACGGCGCGCCCTTAGGCCGGTGTTAGTGTTCTGGTAGAACCAAACCTGGTTGACATAATTACTGAATTGAAGTCTTTCTGCGGAAGAGTGGCAATCCTCTCACTGAAGCTACAACAGAAAACCATTGACCTTGTTACAAGTCCATGAGCTTAATTTACGGGAGAATATGCGTTGTTTCTTGAGGAAGTGGAGTGCGATCCGACGAAGTACCTACTACCGAGTCCCTTATTCTAACGGGCGATTTTAATGCGCATGTCAGAACAGCCATTGAAGAGTGGAAAGGCGTGATTGGAAATAAACTGGCTTTCTGAAATTTACAACGATAACATAAAGTCTGGTCTGGTGCAAGCAGCGGATGGTCTATTATAAAGATCTTCGAGCATCGAAGCGTGCATCAGTATGCCTGGTACAGAAAAGCTTGTGCACAGAAGTCGATGATCGATTTGATGATCGTACCGTCTGACTTACGACGTTCTGTAATGAATGTTCCCGTTAAAAGGGGCACAGAGCTGTCAATAGAAAATGTGGCGAAGAGATCTACCGGTGGATGGAAGTAGCCAGTGGCGTTCTGCGTGAATTAGAGCAAACCATTGTGACAAAAACACTGTTTGGTCTAAAGACTAAGTTTCCGGTGTTTATTCCCATGCATTCCTGCGGTCATGAGTCGTGGACCATGACTGAGTAACTTCGATTTCGTGTACACGTGGCTGAAATGGGTTTTCTGAGGTGAATCGGTAGCCTCACGCGTCTTCACATGGTCAAGAGTAGACATATTCGATAGAGCCTGTGTACAACCTCTGTTTCTTTGGATGGAGTAGTCACAGATACGATGGTTTGAGCACGAGTTGGGAATGCCTCCAGGGAGGAAGACTAAGCAATTACCGATTGGTAAACCGCAACAGATTGGCCAAAAGAATTGGGAACGGTCAAGATTAACCTGGTGTAACTATATGGGAGGAGTCTGCTACAAACTGTAGTTGTCTTCTGCTGAAGACTCTGGTACAGGATCGGAAACATTAGAAGCGCTGTCTGGCGGTCTAACTGCGCGACCCAAAAGGAAAAGCAGTGATGGAAGATGACGATGTCACCCTAACAAGTCGATGGAATTCATTTATTTAGTTCTGTTCTGAGTGAGGGATACATTTGCTTCATGAGGTCTCCGCAATGATTCTAATCTACTGTTAAACTGTCATACTCAATCGTCAGAATTCCATAAGAAGACAGTGCTGCATTTTTGCATAACTAAATCCATCTGGTTCTCGGTGTGCCTCTGGGTCATCATCTCCGAGGTTTCGTCAGAAGAATCCGCATCGTTGTCAAATACTCAAATAATTACAATTATGGAAAAGAGGCTTAGAATTTGTGCTATATTGATCTGCCATATTCCGATCTTTGTCTATTTTTTTGTCACTCAAACAATTCTTCGAGAATCCTCATTTCTTTCGCCGATACCCGGTGTCGCACTCTGAAAATCAGTACCCTGCGTCGTGATCATAGCTGAGAGTAAGTGGGAAGTAATGACGAAAATATGACGTTCTTAGCAATATGGATGAAATAAGACATAAACCGATCTCCCTTCATATACTGATGATATCTTCTACAGGAAAGCAGACGGTGCCTTCTAACAAATCGGTTGAAGAGATGAACATCAAAAACCCCAGAAGTTCTCATGCAAGGCTAAAATCAAGAAGGACTCGTATCTATTTGCGTGTGCCAGATCACAAGAGAAAATCTTCACTACGTGCGAAAGATACATTCACTGTATGTGCAAGTTTATAACCATACGTAGCACAATCGATATTTTCGCAAAACAACTTATCAGAGTTATCATTGACCAGGGGCTGGTAAATAAAAGTAGAAAAATCGATCACTAGAGCGCCAAAAAATGCAGAGGAAAGACTATGGTAGACCGTGCTTTTGCAGAACTATTGCAGACTGATTAAAAGAGTTAGTAATAACAATAACCGTTACAAACGATTGATTATATGGTGATCACAAAGCCTACTTTTACTCGAGTAATTTTTTTATGGTCAGCACATGTTATTGAGATTTCCTGTCTTAGGCGTTGTGACTTGGCTAAAATGCAGGCTATAAAATTGAAGGCAACGTAACATCGGTGACCTAGAGCGTATGTTTATAAATATCAAATCTTCACAGCTCCAATTCTGACTGATCTCATTTCTTCAAGATCACACGATGGTAAAGTAAAGAAGCGTTTATTGTAACAATGGAACAAAGCACATGAACAGAATCGATCAGTCAGTAGATAACAGTGACAGTATTCGCGATAAACAGGCGTAGCGTTTGATGATTGGATCGCTGCGTACAGGACAACCGGAGCGATCAGATAAAGTTGGCCAGCTCGGAAGCCAATCCTGAAAACGGGTCTTCATCAATCAAGAACGGGGGACGAAATGCACCGCCGACGAGGCAACGCCGGCTGATGGTCATCGGCTTCGGCGGTGCCTTCAGATGTAGCTGATACGCCCCCGTAGTGCAGTAACTCTCAACGGATGCCAGAGTGAGGTCATGAGGCAGTTGATGGCGCGCTAAAACCGATGATTTGCAGTCAGCATGTAAAACAGGTGGCACCACACAGTAAGACGCCGCTGTCGCTTACCTCCAGTGATGATGTTCTTCAAGACAATGTTGAACTCTTCAGCTGCGTACGATACTTTGTTCATTTTTAGGACTAGACGAATCGTCTCCAGGCATGTCGTTTTGTTCGATATGAGCAAGCTTTTGTAGTTTGACTAAAGAAGAACCATTCAGTGAAACAACACAAATAACAGCAAGAAAATATCTTCAGAATTTCTTCCGTCGAGGTTGTAAATAATGTTAAACTCCCGTGACTGTTTCTAACAATTGGCGACAGTCTTCAACCGATGGAAGTCTCATCGCTAATGTCTGTACCATAATATTCGCTGATAGTACAATCACATCTCTCTGTTTGATCTTATTTCTCATTTCTTTTATACCGCAGGTGTATCCCGTCGGAGGTTGCCCTACTCGCTGTTCCACCGGTTCTAGTAGCCGTATTTCCTAATCTTAATTTTGTCAAAACCAACATCGTCTACTCGAGTCAACTTTGATCGGTGGCGATGCTCTCAGTTAACTGTTATTAAAAATTATAATTATGAACAACCATGAGAAACTTAAGCTTATAACACCAAAAGAATATATAGACATAAAGACGCAGAGCAATACGATAAGACAGAATTTCCGTCAAGCTGCTGAATTCAAGCTACCTTCCATTTAATTGGTTAAACTGTTATTGTGATTAAAATAAAAATGACAGTCGGAACAGCCTCTCCAGCCGGAACTATCTGCTCACTCGACTTTCAACTGCGATGTTCAGAGAGTATAGAAGCGAGCAGCACAGAATTTATGATGAAAGCAAGAAATTCTACGTTCTGCTTGTAACAGCAACTTGCCTCAATGAGGTATTTCTAAATTTCACACTGTCCGCTAGCTCGCCTGAGGCCAGTAGATATTTCCTCAAAAATTATCGGATTTTGAACCGATCTCCTTTTTCAATTTGGCTAGTTTATTAAACCAGAATGGGCGGCAGTTTCTAAGCTAAGTTATCGTATCAATTCTTTCAGGCTGGCGGTGATCACTCAACCATTTCTAGTATTTTCGAGCTGTTGTGGCTAGTGATGGTACCACGGACCCTTAAGTGAACCGGAGCATTCAACTGTAGTGAGTAAATTGCGGAAAGCTATATATAGTATGAAAGATAGAGCTACAAGAACTGGTACAATGATCACAATCCAGAATACGGTTGCATTCGCGGCGTTCACGTACAGTCTGAAAACATACGCATTCCCCTAATCGGTCTTGAAGCTTATTTCGATAGCTTGTAGCAAAGCTGTCTACAAATTATCCTCAAAAGACGAATACACCATCAGGCCACAAGCGAATAGGTCATGACAAGTAGGACTGAGAAAAAAATTATATGATTAACTCAGATGGCACCTAGCCTGGTTTGATAAAAAGGTCAAAAAATGGAAATATGTCCAGAACCTTTCTCAATGGGAACCACGTACTGCTTGCAGATGAGTTGCAGGCAAATAAAAAACACAAAAACACCTCGCTGAGGTATACCTGCTTATAAAGAGGAATATAACCTTTGCCGCAGCATTGAATGTTATATTATATCAATTTGAAATATCACTTCGAACGGTGGAACGTGTTAAATCTAGGTTATTTTGTTGTTAGCTTTAATTGATGACAAAAAATAACAACAGAAATAGCCTAGTCATCTCGAATGGCTAGTAATCTTCAGTTTTAAAATGTCTGGACAGCATTATGATCCGGATGTTTCGTTGGTGCTTGAGTATTATCTTCATCATTATCCTCAGCAATAGAGGTTAAAATTTTATCACGTGTTTACATTGTAAACACTGACTTCCCAGCCTTTGATCTGTTTATCATCGGATCTGTCTTGTGTCTACATTCTGCGTAATTAACGCATTAAAGATTAAACCTCACACCCACATCAGTAACGACATTCATTACAGTCAAACCCATTTACAGGAATTAATGACGCCTGTATGATTTGAGTTTTGATTCAGGTCAGAAATAATTGATCGTCGATCGGAATGACCATGACGAGTGGAACGTCTGGTTTCATGTCACGCTGTTGATACTAGAGGCCTTTAGAAACAAAACAAGTCATGTAGCTCCTTAAGACACGTCGTGCTCGCTGTTGAAACCCTATTCTGTTGATATGCATCGTTATCGATGACTTCACGAGCGTATATATTTTGATAAGCCAAATTCGTTGATTCATCATCACAAAGGCTGACATAATTTCAGTAAGGCAAGTACGTACTCAATCATCGGTTACGGATACCTCAGACTACTTCGAGAGACAACAGACAGAAAGATGACAATTTTTCTACACTAGGCGACCCCTAAAAGATGGGCATTTTTTAAAGGGCGTCTTTTAAGCACTAATATTATTGTCATTTATGGCGGCACATTGCATCGAGCAAAAATTGGTCAAGAACACGGCTGATCAACTTTAACTTTAGACCCTGAACGCAATCTCACGGCGTGCTCGTAAAGTGCAGCGAGCGTAGAATATCATCAAATTCAATTCATTCCATAACAGCTGACCGATTTACATGACGGGGAGGTTAAAAAGCGATCAGAAAACGCTATTAACGATGCTATAACGTACCGCGCTATGTAGACAGTGATCGTAGACGCGGATCTGGAAACTGGGACGAACGTGGAGCAGAAACTTTGACATTTCTTTCGGGTGACACGCTTGCAGCTCCAGCGGTTTGGCGTCTCTGTCCAGAACGAGACTGTTAGACACGCTGGCGCCCTCGTACTTCGTGTTCAGCTCCATTGTGAGGTAGAAGAGGTTCGGGTCTCGGCATTGACGACCGAACTTCGCCAATACTAACTGTATCATTTCATCGGCCGACGTGTTGGTGCTGACGAACAGCGTTTTGTAGTCGGTGCCAGGCTGCAGTTCTGAGGTGTACACCTTTATCGTTCCCTAAAATAGCACTGCTGTTTAACATGACGTTACACAAAACGACGCTTCGTCAAACCCAGACGAGGGTATGTGAGGACAAATTCAAATAACGGAGGTGGACAGCATACAAGCAAAGGAAATTAGACGTTGTTTCCCAATATACATTGCAAATAAATGTATATTGCATAATATAAATTACGGCATAATTTCATATCTCGTCATTTTGAATACGCTGCACTTGGTCAGGGAATTTGCGTTGGCCGCTGAAGCCATGAAAATTGCTCCTTGCATGCTTTCTCAATCCTCCTTCTCTTGATTGAAGGATACAGACAAACGATGATCGTTTTGCCCCTGGCTATGCCATGATTTGATCACACAAATAATCATACCATATCTTCCTTTGGAGGGACTGACAAGGGAAGCATTTGAAAAGTTGAAATACCTGCTCAAGCGAAACCAGGAACTCGACCACCTTCTAGCTCAATCAGTTGACTAGGGCGACAGCCGGACAGCGTGAACTTAAGAAAGTTCAAAGTTATATATAGTTGTGGTGTCTTTTACCAAGCACCGCAGTGCCAAAGCCTTCGACCTCAACAGGGAGCGAAAATTTTCATCACTTGTAGCCTACCCGACCATGTTGGTACAAATATGGGTTGCGATACTCGTCATTTCCCTGCTATCAGACTGCGTTGCGTTAGGGAGTCTGGCTAATTGCTGTTTAACTGGCGACGAAAAGACAAAGAATAATTCAACTTCACTCTTCTTTGGATCAACGCTACACAGGCAGACCACAACTTGTTGTTGTTGTTTGTCATCGTATTCTGGAGAGCAGTACCATCCAGTCTTAACAGCCCCATCTCTCCCAGATTAAAGACGTCCGCATTAACACAGCAAACTGAGGCATGACAAAAGCGTACTGAGGCTTCTGACGATTTCGTCACTTTATCAATCTACAAAAGGCGTCGGTACCTTAGTTTCAGAAAGCTTCTTTAAGTTTCTTGGCAGTTTTAGTATATACTCTTGGTTACTCGATGATACCACTGGAATCTGAGAACCTCAACTTAAGCAAATTATCCTATTGGACTATGGAAAATTTTGAGTGATACAAATTTGACTTAACGACCCCACACCATTCGCACGCTATCTAAGAACGGTCTTCTGAAAGGCAAACAGACACACGCGGTGCAAGACTGCGCCTACTTCCCAGTCTCGCTTTATTGTTGAACACGAACGTGTTCTGTATTTGTATTCCCACCCTTTATTAACTTCTACCTTAGCCGTGGAGGAGTACAACCATAATTTATGAAGAGCAAAAGTCACATTTGAGTCAACTGTAGATAATTGCATTAAAAAGGTTAAACGGCTAAATTAAGCATTTTATACTTTTATACTTTCTCATGCCATTTACATACTGTTTCACATCATTTTGCATTAATGATTACACACTGAAATCCAATTTGTTTGTGTATCCTGTGCATGAAGCTAACGGAAATCACACAATGTTAAAACATATCAATACGTTACTCTATACATTTTCTGCAAACACGTAAGCAATAGGGTGGAATGACTGGTAGGCGTGAGTTAATCTGGACTACATAAAATTCGTGTTACGTAACGGTTTACGGAATGCAACTCTTACGAAAGTCTGGGTCTGTTAACCGATGGATGGGAGTGTCTTCTGCCGTCAGCTCTAACAGACTCTTGGGACAGAGTCGATGGCATCTCTTCCTCCCGATTGCAAGTACTTCCTTAAGAGAGTCCGCCATAATTAGCGATCTACTCGTTGATTCTGCAACTGAGAATATGACATTTGCAAAGACTGCTTAATGCAAGGGGAAATGCATTCAAAAACCGCTCTTGTTGGATCATTAGAGTCAAGCACCTCGTTCCGTTACAGTACTGCTACTTTTCAGCAGTGTTGTTATTGATGCCCTCTCCAAAAGCCGAGAAATGCCGGGTTTGAGCCCCCGTTGGGAAATGAACGCCGCTCTATGGGAGGGAAAAAGGAAACTTTACTGTAAGCCTGCAACATAGCTGCTGTGGACATTGCTTTGAAGAAGATAGTTCTGGTTGACAAAGACTGGAAATGGAGATCAGCGCCCCACTAAAAACTTCATGAAAAAAAAGACCTCCAGAAATAACTGCCTCATGAAAGTGAATGTGAGAATGACGAACGTTTCAACGGTTATAAGCTTTCCTTTTCCTCCGAAAACAAGAAAATCGTACATTTTTTCTTGCCCTGCACTTTAACCAGTACTTCTAGGACCAGCCGCATTCCAACCCTAGGCAATCAAAGCAAATCATAAATATTTTTGTGAGGTGTTCTTTGAATCACATTTGTTGAGCAATGTATTTATGATTTATCCGGAAAAAATACAACCACGTAAAAAAGCGTAATTCGACCAGTTTTTAGATTTTGTCGACTGTTGCGACGAACGTTCACGACCAGAGCATGAAATTTACGAATGGCCAATTCCAAGTTCCACTCTTACCGCACCTCGGTGGCATCACGCTCCCCGTCGGTGGAAGGTGGGCATTAAACCGGCACTTTTCGAGTAGTTTACAAAGTGCTCTTTGTAGTTCTTTGCAAACACGCACTCTCGGCGCGGTACTGTTTACGAAACGGTGCAAGGTGGTATCGTTATGGTCCTTGACTTTGCTCTGTGTTTGAACAGTGACCAATCGAAACTTGGAAAACGACAAAAAATACAACGCCAGTGCAAACATATTGGTTGCTTTATGTGCTTTTCGGATATGAATTAAATACCTTTGGTCTTATGGGCCAAGAGCTTTGGAATGGTGGGTTTCAACGACTGGCCAACATACACCACGTAATTCAATGACAATCATATCTATATCAGAAGTTAGAGTGACTATGCCTTCCTCTTCATAATAATACCAAAATATTCCAAAACGCGGTCATCCAAACTGGCTAATTCGACTCTCCAACACGAAGCGACCGACTTTTGCCTTAGAGCACTATGTCATGGTACTATCATCCCAAAATTTGACTGACACAAATATCATATATTGGATGGTATGAATACTTCGAACGCCTGTGTTAAACAGCCAAGAAAAACGATTTCAGGCGCATGTGCATTACTCAGTACGCAGTAATTTATTTGTATATTGGCAACCATGGAGAATGTAGAATAAATGTCGGATCAGTCAGCACCACTTCAACATGTCTGTAATGATGCAGCAAATAAAAATGATAAAGTTTATAATGATATTATCAGCTTTCTGTTGGTGCCAGGGTCTTTATATCATACTAAGTCCAGCAACCCTTACTGAGACTAAAATCATGTATAAAATATAATTTGCTTGTGCGCAATGTCAATTCTGCTGCTGTGAAGTGCCACAGAGTTAGGTGAGGTTAGACAAGTGCCACAGAGATGAGGCTAGACAAGCCGTCTCCAACTTGCAGTCGAGTCTGTGTGAAGTACGACCGAGAAGCGATCCGGTAACCATTACAAACACTGTTTGTTGCTCAGGCGTGGATAGGCGCAAAATGGCAATGGTCCATGCTGGGTTTCGATGACTTACAGTCTGGGAATTTGGAAGGAACCGCAGATTCGATCACGAATAACGCTTCGGCGCCGTCCACGACCATCATGTGTCAAGTCAGGC